ATGTTCTTATTTACTGAAAATTGTAAACTCTTAATGAAACAAGTACATGCCTGCCTCAGGCCTTTGCTTTTCCCTCTCCTGTAGTGTTTTCCCCTCAAGATACTTAACACCTATACCCTGATTTTTTTCACAATGGTGCTAAAATACAACTAAACAGAAAGGCCTTGCTTGACTTCTGTAAGACATGCCTTGGGCTTGCGTAGGTACTAAAGAAGTGTGTCCAGTCAGTAAAACACAGCTGGGGAACATTGTAGTTTTTCTACTCCTTGTGTGTCTTGTCTCTCTGGAAGTGTTTTGGTTGAACATATCTATAGAACTTTCCTTGCCTTGGAATGCGTATATATTTTTTTAGATTGTAATTTAATTGCATTTCTTCCTTTTCTTTCCTCCCTTCAAGTTCTTCCATATAACCCTCCCTACTCTCTTTCAGATTTATGGTCTCTTTTTTTTTCAGTAATTGTTATTGCATATATGTGTGTATTTGTATATACATATATATTCCTAAAAATAACTGGTTGAGTCCATATGTTGTTACTTGTATGTGTGTTTTCAGGGTTGTCCAGTGCTAAACGGACAATTAGTGTGCTTTTCTCTGGGGAGAACCACCTTTCCATCTCCCAGCTTTACTCAGTGCCTGCGGTTCTTTGTGTAGAGTTGAGGTTTTGTGGGCTTTTCCCCCCATCCAGTTTGGCATATTCTTTGGTGTTGTCCTTGTTCAGCTTAAGTTTGGGCGGTCATGCTGGTAAGACTTTACAGTTACAGCTTCTGATGTTACTAGGAGACACAATCTCATAGCAAATTCCCTGATCCTCTGGCTCATAGAATCTTTCTGCCTCCTCTTCTGCTATGTTCCCTGAGCCTTAGGTGTGGGAGTGTTTTGGAGATGTAGCCTTTGGGACTGGGTTCCATAACTCTGCATTTTGATTGGTTGTGGTTTTCTGTAGTGGTCTCTGTCTGTTGCAAAGAGAGATTTCCTTGATGAGGGGTGAAGACTATACTTACAGGTTAAACCCTGGAGGAGGATGTGGAAAGTTTGAGTATGGAGTTGGGTGGTAGAGGTGGCACAGTGGGTCCTGTGGGTGGATGTGGGTCCTTAATATTTTTTGACTGAAAAAAAAATAAGAGAAAAAATGATCAGCAGACCATAGAAATGGCAGAGTAGCTGTGGAAAAGTGGAGCAGTAGAGGCAGCCTGATACTCCTCGGGTAGTGAAGGAAAAACAAAAAGACATTTCCTTGATAATATCCAACCTAGAAAGCATTTCACAGAGTGGTACCAAAGCAGACTTGGGTTTGGCAGGAACCCAACACAGTTTGGGGTCTTACCTATTCAGTCCCATCCCAGGTGCCTCTGGAAGTTGCAGGCAAGTCCAATCTACTTGGGAAGCAGTCTGTGTACTGTAGGACTTTGGATTGTTTTTAAACTAAAAAAGCCAAGCAGTTCAAAGGTAGTATATCAGATCATATATAGTCTAGTATAGTATCAGATCAACAATTTTCTAGGATTCTACAGTTTTAGTGGATATTGGACATCTTATCTACCTGTTTAAGACTACTGGGAACTAGGCAGGTGCAAGAATTATCTCCATTTGATAAGTATAGATCAAAGCACAGAAGAAAGCTCCAACTCAACTGGAGTTTGGATCAATGCCTTTTGATTCTCTTTCCTAATCTGGCCAACAAAGAGATAGCTGGCCTACTTGAGTTTCATTGCTTTCAGATGTCTTGTCAGGTACTAGTGGAAAATATAATTAGTATAAAAGAAGTTTAAATTCAAAGAATTAGCTCCACATCAGGCTTCTTGGATCCTTAAGCTGATCTGAAACAGGTGCTGTTTATTTAAGTGAGTCCTAAAAGTGGAGAATAGTCTCTAGCATATCTGGATCTCAAAATTCTCCAAATATTGTGCTTAAGATTGATAGACGTGGAGAGTCATTGTTTTTGTTTTGTTTTGTTTTTTGCTCTCCTTCCCTAACGTGGTTTCATGTAGTTGAGGCTGGCTTCAAATCCCCCTTTTTCCCCTTCTACCTCCTAAGTGCTGAGATTGCAGGCATGAACCACCACATTCAGTATTATTATTATTTGTTTCTTTTTAAAAATTTCTCTTGAAATTATAATTATGTCATTTCCCCCTTTCCTTTCCTTCCTCCAAACACCCCTGTAGCTAGAGTTTTCCTGCCTTGTCCACAGTCAGGACAAATCTCTGTCACCCGCCAGTCCCACAGCCGCTCAGATCCAACCAAGTAAACACAGAGACTTATATTGCTTACAAACTGTATGACCGTGGCAGGCTTCTTGCTAAATGTTCTTATAGCTTAAATTAATCCATTTCTATAAATCTATACTTTGCCATGTGGTTCGTGCCTTACTGGCGTCTTCACATGCTGCTTGTCATGGTGGTGGCTGGCAGTGACTCCCTCCGCCTTCCTGTTCTTTCTTTTCTCCTCTCTGTTAGTCCTGCCTATACTTCCAGCTGAGTAGTATTTCATAGTATATATGTCCCACATTTCATTATACATTCATCAGTTGAAGGTTGTTTAGGTGGTTTAAGTTTCCTAGTTATAGTGCATAGAGCAACAATGAACGTGTCTGAGCGGTGTCTGTGGTGTAGGATGTCAAGTCCTTTGGGCATGTGCCAGTGAGTAGTATAGTTGGGTCATTATTTTTTGGTTTTGAGAATTCTCCACATTGATTTCCATTGTGCTGCACTAGTTTTCAGCCCCAACAGTGAATGAGGGTTCCCCCCTCTCCCCATTTGTTAGAGGTTTGGTTTTTTTTATCTTTGCCATTCTGACTTGGGTAATAGGAAATCTCAAAGTTGTTTGATTTGCGTTTCCCTAATTGCTAGAGATGGTGAATTAATTTTTAAAGCTATTTATTAGCTGTTTTGTTGTTGTTTTGAAAACTCCAGTTAGTTCCCATGCCTATTTTTTGAAAGAGTCTTTTGTTGTTGTTGTTTTGAGTTCTTTATATATTCTGGGTGTTAATTCTGTCTCTTCCATTTTGTGAATTTCTTTTCACTAGTTGATTGTTTCTTTAGCTGTAGAGAAGCTTTTTAGTTTTAGGAATGTCCCACTTGTCAGTTGTTGCCTTTAATTGGTAGGCAAATGGACACAAAGTCCCTTCCTTTTCCTGTATCATAGAAGTATGCTTGTGGGACTGGAGAGATGGCTCAGCGGTTAAGAACACTGACTGTTCTTCCAGAGGTCATGAGTTCAATTCCCAGCACCCACATGACAGCTAATAACTGTAACTACAAGATCTGATACCCTCGTACAGACATGCATACAGGCAGAACACCAATGCACATAAAATAAAAATAAATAAATTTTAAAAAAAGTATGCTTATATTTTCTTGTATCAGTTTCAGGTTTCAAGTTTAGATCTTTGGTTATTTGGAGTTAGTTTTTTGTTCAAAGAGATAGGTACAAGTTGTCTAATTTCACTCTTCTACATCAATTTTTTTTACAGCTCCATTTGTTGAAGATGCTTTCTTTCCCTTAGTTTATGTTTTTGGCATCTTTATCAATTATAAAATGGCTGAAGTTATGTGTACTCGTATTTGGCTCTTCAGTTTTGTTACATTGGTCTGCATATCTATTTTTGTTCCAGTACCATATTGTTTTTATTACAGTGGTCTGTAATAAAAGATATAAAAAATATATCTTAATATAAAAAAGATATAAAAAATATATCTTAAGATCTGGAATGGCAATCCCTCTAGCATTGTTCTTTTTGTTTAGGATTATTTTGGCCATCCAGGGTCTTCTGTGGTTCTATATGAACGCCAGGACAGTTTTTGTTTGTTTCTTAATTTTAAGTAAATGTGTGTGCGTGCGTGCGTGCGTGTTGCAGAGGGGACAGTGTTGGGGGACTGACTGTATGATGTGGTGTGTGTGTGTGTGTGTGTGTGTGTGTGTGTGTGTGTGTGTGTGTGTGTGTGTGTGTGTGTGTGTGTGTGTGTGTGTTGCGTGGGGGGGGCGCAAGGGTTGGGACGGTATGTGTGGTTTTGTCCTTCCACTATGTGAGCTGCAGGTATCTAAATCAGGCTGTCAGGCTTGGCAGCCTTGTTTGTTTCCTTTTTGGAGAGAGGGACTTTTTTATTCTTCTAAAAAATGCTTGGGGATGTTGGTTTGAGGTCCCTGCTTATTCTTATCCTTGTTAAGCCCAGAGGGCTTGATGTTGGTTTTCCTGGAAGAGCTCTGGTCCTTAGTTCTTAGTGGTTAAGCTTTTCAAGCATGTATCCATTTTCATATATCTTACAATAACCTTGATTTTATGTAGCTCAATCTTTTGTTTCCTTATGAAAATACATGACATTTGATATGATATATAGTTATTGGGGGTGTTTGAAGAAGAAAACTTGTACTAATATGAGTGACAATGCCTTCTGTTTGAATGTTTTCTGAGGAAGGTATTTGGGCAGTTAGGGCAATTGAGCTTGGGTATTTTTCCAGTTCTACACTGGTAGGAATTCTTATATCAATAACCCTGATATTTCCTTGCTGCTTTAGTAAGTAAGGGTAGGGAATGGTATTGGTCCTCTTACCCTATTCTGACCTCAAAGGCTCTTTAGACACACTTTCATATTTAGCTTTGATAAAGACTGATGATAATTGTGGGATATTTTGAGTGCATTCTGACACTCTTGAGACTGCCAATAAAGTTTACTTGAATCAGAGGGTGGGACTAGCTATTAGCTGACTAAATTAGCCATAGAGGTTTCAGAGGACCAAGGACATACAGAAAGACACAGGTAGCAGTAGGGAGGGGCTTAGAAAGATTCTCAGCATCTTGGATTGAGGAAGGAGAGAAGAGGAGGTCACTGGTCACTTCTCCACCTCTCTGATCAGTCAGGATCTTACCCTAAATCTGTCTTCTGAGTTTTTATTCATAAAGAATAAACATTTCAGATGATAGTATTAGAAACAGGGCTCTGAGCCAGTAGGTAAGGCCTTTGGTATCTTACTCAGGTGGTAACAGTTTAACACCTTTTTACAGCTGCTCCTGATATCACTGGCCATAAACGGAGTGAAAACAAAAATGAAGGGCAGGATGCCATGATGTACTGCAAGTCAGTTGGCTACCCCCACCCAGAATGGATATGGCGCAAGAAGGAAAATGGTATATTCCAGGTGAGTAGGAGGTAGCCCTATACCTATACCTAAATCTCTTTGCTTACTGGAGTTTTTCCTGAGGAGGTCCAGACATCTGGGCCAGTTATTGCAACAACTGTTTCTTTGAATGTAGGATGGCTTGGACCATTATGGAGTGAATTACAGTTTACATCATGAATATGGAGGTTAGTCAGTACTCCATTGCTAGAGCTGTCTGTCTGGTAAGAGATTAGATTGCTTGCTTTCACAGTAGAACACAGAGCTAAAACTAATTAAATATTTTGCTATGATTCTGGAGTGGGTTGTTTTTGTTTGTTCTTCAGAAGAAAAGGGACCAAGAGATACTAAAAAAAGTCAAAGAACATTTTTTTTCCAGTCTGTGGAATGATTTTATGTGTATGTGTGTGTGTGTTTTGTGTTAGTTTACACATTCGTGTGGGTACCTACAGAGGCCAGAAGAGGTTGTACTACCTGTACTCCTGCTCCAGAAGTACAGGTAGTTGTGAGCTGCCTGTTGTGGGTGCTGGGAACTGAATCCCAGTCCTCTGCAAGAGCAGCAAGTACTCATAACTACTGAGCCATCTCTGCAGCCCTAAATAATTCTGAAGCTATATCTGTTTGGGGGTGGGCTTTACCTATCTGTGCATATTTTTGGAGGTCAAAGAGGGTATTAATCTTCCTCTATCCATTTCCATGTGCTAAGGCAGTGCCTCTCCCTGAACCTGGGGCTCATGTTTTCTTGGCTAGTCTGGAAGCCAGCCATCCTGTCTCCACCCTTTCTCAGAGCTGGGGTTACAGGTGTATGCAGGATGCCTAGCTTATTACATGTGCACTGGCATCAGAATTCCGGTTCTCCTGATTGCACAGCAAGTGCTCATAACTGCTGAACCATCTTCTGGCTCCTGTGGAGCGGTTCTTGACAGTGTTTAAATAGTGCCTTGGAGTCTTTTATTCTCTGATTCAGTGATTTCTAAACAATTTCCTTTCCTGACAGGGGATTTTCATACATCCACTTCAGCTTTTATGCCCAGATTATATTTTATAGGCATTCTTTTTTATTACCATCCCTCAGAATTAGAAAGGACTCTGCAGCTCATCTAATCCAGCTTCTTTGGAAAAGTAACATATTGAACAACATAAATTATTGGCAAAATCAAGGATAATAGGCAATTTTATTTCAAGTCCTGTATATTTCCCATCTTACGACCTCTTGATAGCAAAATGTCAAGTATTGATGACTCTGGTGTCAACAGTGATTTTAGAACTACATTAGTAAAGAGGATCAGGAGCTAGGAGGTGAAAATGCTGAGCTGAGTATTTTCAGAGAAAGCCATTGTGTTTTCTAAGGGGCTACGAAGGAATATCCATTTCTCTTCTGGTCATTGGAAAGGATGTCTCTGGCTTTTGCCAAAACTGATTAAAATTACTTTGTATTTTCATTTCTTGAAAGGTGAAAGTTGGAATTTCACTGTGAAGGTTGAGTTCCCTCTTTCAGCTGTGTACCCACACAAAATGCAAGCATGCTGTAACTGGGATAATATGAAAGATGATCTTCCTCTTTATCTGTGCTATTTTTGTATATTGTTAGCTGTTGCTAGTGCAGGGTGAAGATGCCTAGAGTGCTCTATACCTGTCACAGCTCCATGACCCTGTACTAGGGCCAGCTCTTTGAAGCTCTTCCTGGCTCTCCTGCAATGACTCCTCAATACCTCCCAGTTCTCCATCCTGCACTGTTTTTTGTTTTTGTTTAAAAAAAAAAAAAAAAAACAAACAAGGCCGGGCGGTGGTGGCGCACGCCTTTAATCCCAGCACTTGGGAGGCAGAGGCAGGCGGATCTCTGTGAGTTCGAGGCCAGCCTGGGCTACCGAGTGAGTTCCAAGAAAGGCGCAAAGCTACATAGAGAAACCCTGTCTTAAAAAAACCAAAAAAAAAAAAAAAACAAAACAAAACTATTCTCTCTGTGAGTTTGAGGCCAGCCTGGGCTACAGAGTGAGTTCCAGGAAAGGTGCAAAGCTACACAGGGAAACTATCTTGAAAAAAAAAAACAAAACAAAAACATATTCCTGAAGTCAATCATCCCTTTGGATGTTTGCCCTACCTTATCCTATCATTACACGCATACTGAGGTCGGAGGACAACTTTTGGGAGTTTGTTCTCTCTTGCCATCCTAGGTTCCAAGGATGGAACTCAAGTTGACAGGCTTGCATAACAAATGCATTTGCCTATGGAGCTTTCTCCTTCCTTCTTGAAGCTAGGTTTCTTGTGTATCTTCCCTTTAATAGGATATGGGATGTATAGGTATTTATTAATTAGTAGATACTTGTTGATTGGTTGAATAGTCTTTAATCCCAGAGTCCTGGAAGGGAAGTCAGGGTTTTCTCCCTGCTCCCTCCTGAGAGCAAGTTTTTAGCATTGCTTCTGAGCGAAGTTTAAAGACTTGTCAGGACTGGTCAAGTAAAGAAATAAATGTACTGGCTCTTACCAGACGGTCCTGAGGTTCTCACACATGCCAAACATTGGGTATCTTGCTTCTCAGCTACAGTTTTTCCCCCTGTTGTTTGAAGCAGCATTTGTTAATTTGTCTGTCTGTAGGCATCTGCAAGTAGCAGGCCTCTACTCAGTCTGGAAGTTGGAGAAGTTCAAAGGATCAACAGTAATGGAAATTTGTACCCTATTTCTACCAGAAGTGTATTGAACCCTGAAGGGAAGTCATCTAGCCATTATCCTGATAAGAATGAGGATATTGTCGTCACCCTTCCATGGGTAGCTCATCTACTCTGACCTGCCTTTTTCCCCTCAGGACATTTCCAATAACTCTGGTCGCTTCTTCATCATCAACAAGGAGAATTACACTGAATTGAATATTATGAATCTCCAGATCACAGAAGATCCCGGCGAGTATGAATGTAATGCTACCAACTCCATTGGCACTGCCTCCGTTTCCACCGTCCTCAGGGTACGGAGCCACCTTGCCCCACTTTGGCCTTTCTTGGGAATTCTGGCTGAAATCATCATCCTTGTGGTGATCATTGTTGTGTATGAGAAGAGGAAGAGGCCAGATGAGGTTCCTGATGGTAAGAGCATCCCAACAAAACAGTAAAGTTGGGGTTGGTTCCTTGGGTAGTTTCCAAGTACTGAAAGAGGAAATATAAGGATCTGGATTAAGTACCAAAAGAGAAGAAAGAAAACTTTCATGCTGGTGCTAATCTGTGCTCCCCACTCCCCACAGTTTTTGTATTAGCCACCTAGAGATATAATTAGCTCTCTCCCTGTTTAGGTGTTCTCCAAACCCTAGGCCTTGGCCTTCAGGCCATGTGGTGAATGGGCAGCTGTCAAACTCTTTGTTCAGCTCTGTCCTCCTTCAATACAGATCATCAGGCAGATTGAGCTTGAGGAGAATCCAAGTCAAGCCTAGAAGCCACCCCAAGATCACAGGCCACCTGTCCTTTCAGGTAGATTTAAGGTATATAATTGGTTGTCACATGATTACCTGGCATAGTCCCTGTAGGTAACTGTCCCAGCCCAGTCTAGACGACTGTTCAGAAAGCCATTAGAAGGAGGCAGACTTCAGTTCCTTTCGTTGGTCTCTTTGTTAGGTCTTCAAGGCTCTCTTCTGGCTTTTCTGTTTGTGTCCCACTGACAAGAATGGTAGGGAAGATGTAGCTTACTCTAGGTTTAGGGAAGCCAAGTGCCAACTCCTCAGCACACACTCCAGGGCATTTTTCCCCAGCTGGCCCAGAGTTACAGAAGATACAATGGGAGTAGAACCGTCTCAAACCGTTATTAGAAAGCCTAAGACTTGGATATGCGGGATATGCTTAAAATCAGGAAAGCTTTGGGAAAGTCTTGTATATTTGGTTATAGATTTTTCATTTCTAACCCTATGAAGAGAACAGAGAACTTATCGAAGCTTGAATCACTAGTATTCAAGCTAAAAAGCTATTCACTAAAAAGCTCCTCATCTTCTCCCCATGAACTATAATACTGTATCAGCAAATAGAAATTGATTGATCAACTAGCTATAACTGCCCCTTGCCTGTCACTGTCTAGACTAGAGGATGTACCTACCCCAGGCTCAGTGCAGACTGGGGGCAGTGGTGGTGCTGGCTACCATCTGTACTTGTGGTACAGTGTCCTCCCCCAGACTTGATGGATCTGTCACTGAGCAGTAGTGTGTTGCCCTCTCTCCACATCATACCATATCTGTTAGTGGACAGCACCAAGTGAGATCTTATACTCCCTTGGAGAGAGTACAGCCTCAAAAACATGGCATGGCTTTAAACTCTGAAAAGAATGTTTAAGAGGAACAACTACCTTTTCTTTTCCTTTCTTCTTAGCAGCTCTAAGTCTCTTGTCTGAACTAAGTAGAGTCTGAGTGGAATGAGTACTTAGATGGGCAGGAGGTCTTGACATTCATCTCTGAGGGAGATCTGGTGGGCTCCCATCCTGATGAGCCAGATAGAAAAATGGGAGAGATGAGCTGGAAGTAGGCGGGGGGGCCTTTGTCCAGTTCCTTACAGTAAAGGATGTCCCCAGTTTTGCTTTCTCATTCTGTGAAGTGAAGCTGCATTCTTAGGATTTTCATGTGTCCCCGATGCCAAGTTTTTCTTTTCTTTTTCTTTTCTTTTTTCTTTTTTGTTAAATGTTAAGACTCCCAAGGTAGAGTGCTGTACCTATATTCAGACCTGAGAATAAGGGAGGGAGAAAGTTGTCTACCTTTCATATATTTACAGCTTGGCTATTTGGGAAGTTACATTTCATTCCTTAAAAGGGCCCATCCTTTTAGAGTGTTTCAAATTGCCAATTAGGAGCCTAAGGGCTTAGATTTAGGTCAGTGTTAGAGCCCAAGACCTGGAGTTTGTTCTTCATCACTAGAAGGGAATGGGATCCCCAAAAGACCAGAGAGAGACTGAGACAGACACAGCACTAGCTGTGCCAAATACCACCTTCTTCAACTTATAGAAAGCTGAGGAGCCAAGAAGTTAGCTAAGAAAAGGCAAAGGTGGGCTTTGAAGCCTCACTTTTTACATTTAAGACAAGGGTGGCTGCCATTTTCACAGCAGTTGCACATTGGCTTAGCCTGACCTCACCAGAGGTACCAGTCTTACAGGCCACTTGTGTTAGTGTTTCTGTCCCAGCATGTTGTAGGTTAGACTTTAGAAACTGTTAAAGGTAGTTCTGTCTGACAGGCAGATGCCTGTGGATGGGAGCAGCTATCCTCTTAAGAGTTCTTGGTGGTTAAACTGAAGGGGGATGGGGCTGGCTGGTAGAGCCAGTCTTCTCTGAACAGCTTCCTGGATGGAAAATAATAAGCTAAATTTCTATATATAGTGAATGAATTCTACGTAAAACAGATGACTGCAGGGTAAGTGCAAAGTAAAACCTCCTTGCACTGGTTTCGGGAGAATATTATCATGCAAGCAGCTTTTACTTCTTTGTTGTTGGATTGGGTGAAAATCTGGGATTCCGGAATGATTGCAGTGTTCACCATCTCTCCTTTCCCGGCAGCCAATATGGTCCAGGGTCCATTTTCCATCTCCACTTCCCTGCCCCCTTCAGCATTGTCAGACTTCTCCCTGCTTCCATCTCCCTCTTTGGGTTTTGGCTTTTCTTCTGGAAGAGGGGTGTGTGTTGATCTTCAGTGAATTTTCCTTATGTTGTGGCCTTTTCTTTGTTAAGTTTCTCCTCAGCTCCCATCTCAATTCATAAGAACGGCAAACTCACTGATGCTTTGTTCCCATTTTCTCCTCCCTTAATTTACTTGTAGATACACATACATATTTTTAGTCTGTTGAGGATGAATGAAGAGGTGCACTCTATCTGAGACAAACTCAGAATGTTTTAGTGATGAAATCTTACCTATAATCATGGCTGTTAGCCTCTTTATGCCACTATGAAAACGTGAAGTTTTTATAGATCTGGTGTGCTTTTTCTTTACCAAATAGGCAGTTTATTACCAACATTTGTGGTTGATTTGAGCTTCAGTGAACTCTAAAAAGGAACTCATGTACTTATATTTTCAGTAGTCTGTAGTTATTGGTAACTTTTCTGCTTAAGTAGAAAGCACTAAGTGAACAGTGCAACAATATAAAAGAACACAAATACAGAATTTAATTAGAAAAGCATGTGTCCCTTTCGATTTCTCACACTGAAAATGTATATGGTTGAGGTTAACCGCTTTTTGGTCCATTTATCTCCTGAGTACTCAGGCCATTTCATAGAAGAAATCACACAGTCCTTCAGTCCCCTGTTAGATCTTTTTGAGGACCAGTGCCACATAAGTTATCTCATAGGTAGATTATTTACACATGCACTTTACTTTTAGTGTTTCTAGTAACAAGTCAATTACAGGGTCCAGTTGGAGCTTTGCCTTTTCATGGAGAGTATGCCAAGAGTGTTAAGTAGTGCAGTCTTCCTTCTGTTACAACCGGACTCCTACTTGGAGCCACATTTGTGTTAGTCACGTTCTGACTCAGCTCAGAGTACAGTTAACATGTCCCTCCCAGGATTCCTTCTGCCCACTGGTAGACAGAGGCTGGGGTTAACCTGCTCAGTCTTGGGGCCTTCAGTTCTACTAGATATTTTGGTGTCCTTGAAGGCATTGAGTTAAAACAGCTGATTTAAGAAAGAAAATACTCTTCAGTTTTCACACTGGGGTAATCTTGTAAGTCGGTCAAAGGATTCTTCCTGAAGTCACATAGCAAGTTTGAGGGCAGAAGAGGGAGAGCACTGCTTAGTAACTGTGACCTGACTTCTTTTAGACACTTGGGACTGAAGCCTTGTTCTGATAGTCCAAAATCTACCAGTGGATCAAAGCATTTGGTAGCATATGGAGCTTCATAGCAGGCCAGAGATGCTGGAAAAGAGGTGACTTGGTAAAGTGACACCAAAAACACATTCCATGTGCTTAACTAGGGTCAGTCACAAGTACTTTGTGAGAAAATAGAGATGAAACATGGAAAATGATTCAGAGATGGGGCAAACCACAATAAACTCCAGCACTTGAGGCAGGAGGATTGTTTGATGCCAGCCTAGGCTAGATAGCAGGTTCTGCCAAGGGATGGTGGTGGTAGCTGAGGATGTAACTTATTTGGTAGAGGGCTTGCCTGGCAGGCATGGTTCTACCTTTGATCCTCAGCAACTTAGAAACATCCATGGCCGTGCATACCTGGAAGCTTAGCACCTAGGAGGTGGAAGCAGGTCACCCTCAGCCATGTAGGGAGTTGGGCCAGTGTGGGGAAAAAAAGATCCTATTACTCCATTCCACAAAAAAAAGGGGGGGGGCTGGGACATGGACACACACACACACACACACACACCTCCCACCCCCAGTGAGGTGATTAAAGTGGCATAGGGGCTTTGACCAGAATCAACTCTTGGCTGTTTTGAATCTAAAGCCATCACTTTATGTTGTATAGTGGGTGCAGTATGTTACTTATTGCATCTCAGAGTGCTCACCCCAGATAATGAGGTGTGTGTGTGTCAGGATTGGGGGGGGGGCTTGAGGGCAGCTGTACTTCAGCGAGGAAAGAGTATTCAGGCAAATCAGTCTGTGCACCACTCCAGCAGGAGCGTCACACTCATCAGATGGATTCCAGAAGCATCTTGTTTCATTCTCCCTCAGTCCTCTTCCTCTCATCTAGCCAGTGGCTGTGAGTAGTCCCCAGGTGGAGAGAACAGTCTTTGTTTAAGGCGGCTTTGACCTGAGGGTTTGGGGGTATGTTGATATTTGTCGGTTACTGTGACTTCTTTTTTTTCCCCCTTCAATTGCATCAAACCCTTAAAAACATGGTGGTAAGTGAGCGATATGCATGCTTTTGGAGTTTGTTTAATCTCCGCTTCAGTCTATACAATGCACAGTTCATAATGTTAACACTTTCTTCAAGTTTACTTCATTCACTTTCACAACTAATTTGGATTTTCAGTTTGCTGTTTAGTCCTCATTTACTTTATTTTGTGCCTTTCTCTGTAGCTCTGTTCTCTCCTGACCTTCTGTGGAGGTCAAGTTGTTCTTTTGTCTGGCCTGTATGGGAGAGTGGTGCTGCAGGCAGTGGCTCAGCACGGGTGGGGTGGGGTGGGGTGGGTGTCCTCTTCTTTGTGGTGTCCAAGTAGATTTGGGAATGAAAGGGGTTCCTGGGATTTAGACACAGTGTGAGTCACAGCTGCTCCCACTTTCAGGCATGGCAGCTCCACCAGAGACACTGTTGCTCACATACTCACGTGCAAACCCTTGCATGTGGCTAGCTCGTTCCGTTGGAAAGTGGTATTTAGACACCAGGGTACATCCCCACGCCAACAGAAAGGACTGTGGGTGAAGTGTGCTTGGTTAGTCGAGTGTCCTGCTAGGGAAAGACTGGCCTTGCTATTGTGTTTCCCCTTCTCTTGTTTTTTTAAAGTTGGGAGTGGATTTGGCTGTCTTGCATTAGAATTTTGTATTTTGGGATGCACACTAAAATTAATCAGTTTGTTCCTGTGTCGTCTTTAAATTCCCAAGGTGCTTAGCTTCTAGCATGTTATCTGATTGGCCTGCCCTGGGTGCTGAGCAGTAGGCTGTGGAGGGGAGGGTTCAGGCTGGGCTTGTGTGTCTTAGTACCTGGTGTGTCCTTGTATCTTTCCACTGCATACACAGCAAACAGATGTCTTGGGTGTCCTGACCCTAGTTTGTTCTCTGTACCTGTTGTAATAGCAGTGTTGTTAGTAGTAGTGGACTCCTGTGGACACTGGTATGTTGCTAGCCTATTGTTTTGCTGATGAGTCACTGGTTTGTGGTTAGTTTTTGTTTTGTTTTGTTTTGTTTTGAAATCCTGTTTTGCTCCAGTCACTGTGTGCTGGCGGTGGCTTTGCCTCTCCGTTGCCTGAAAGGAACAGGTGGAGCAATGTCTCCCTGACAGACATTACTCCTGATATGTGCTCCTGCAGATGCCTACACCAAGATTGTAATCTCCATAACTGCTTCATGTGCACCAAGCCCCCTTGTGGAATCCTGCTGAGAGTTTTTCTAGATACCTTCAGTGAAAGCACCCAACTGTTGTACAGTAAAAACAAAGGGTGCTTACTTGGTGTCCTCCTTTTGTGAGTTTTTAAATAACTTTTTTATTTTAATAACATTTTCTCGATGTATGCATATCTACTAAGAGAAGACCAAGTTGTCAGAATTATGAAGTATTAATAAAGCTTCTAAATGCAAATGACAAAAACTTTTTAATTAAAAAAACAAACATCCTATGGCTTTTCTTGTTTTGGCCGGGGCACAATAGTGAGCCCATCTCTTTGTGTGGAGTTTTATAGAAGGGTGTCACTGTTCAGCTCTCCCTATGATGTCACAGAACATCCTCTGCTTCTCATATGTCTCTTCCTGGCCCAGTTGAGCATGGGTAGCCAAGGATTAGGTTGAACTATTATGGCTTCATCTTCCTCAGTCTCATGCTTCAGATCAGTGACCTCATAAAGATTGTAAAACAGCAGGAAAAACAGTGCCCTCTGGGGAAGTGAGGATGTGTGGTTAAATGTATAGAATGTACACATCCATTTACATTGAAGAACTGCATACATTCTCCACAAGAAAACAAACAGCAGGATTTTACAACTGAAATGTTGGTTTGTCTTCTCATCTATTTTGAGTGAACCACTGGAACTTGGGGACAAGATGAGTACAATGATATTGCAGCCTATCTGTCCGCTACAGTTGCAGTTTTTCATGACGAGCATTCAAAGTGTTAACTAAAACCATTGAAAGAACATATCTGCCATTAAAACTGAACCTAGAAACAACTTCATGAGTGTTTTGCACCTCCAGATGGAATGGCCTTTAATAAATGCTATGAATAGCCATGTTTGCCACTTGCACTTGACCGTCCTGTTCATTCTTAGGCAGGGTCTAATGGCTTTCTCCTTTCTTCTCTTATATCTCATGGATCATTAAAAACCGAACACCTCATACAGATGATGAACCAGCCGGGCCAATGTGAGTACTTCATTGAATAGATTTTACAGTTTGAATTGTGTTGTATTTGCAGTTTAGCTAAAAGGAATGCTAAAGATTGTAAGAGAAGGCAATTCCCTTACAATGAAAGTTGCAGTGTACACTTTTTTTTCCCCCTCTGAGACAGGGTTTCTCTGTGTAGTTTAGGTGCCTGTTCTGGATCTCACTCTAGACCAGGCTGGACTCGAACTCACAGAGATCCTTCTGGCTCTTGCCTCCCGAGTGCTGGGATTAAAGGCGTGCGCCACCACCGCCACTTTTTAAGCCTGACAGAATTCTGACTGGTGACCTCTTGATTCCTAGGCCAGGTCTTGTTTTTAGCCATACAAGTGAATACTATGCAAAAGAAATTGAAAAAAGATTATGCGTTTGACATGCTTAAACTGATAATATAGGAGAAGTAAGCAGTATAACCAAGTCAACTTCAAACTGGACTGTAGAATTAGACAAACTACTGTCTAGTTCCATTAACAATTGCTGACAAGAGAGATGGAGCTGTAACATGGAATGAGTCCAAGGCTACCAGGCTTTCCTGCAGTTGGACGTTATAAGAAGCCAGAGGGGCAGTTGGTGGGTTAATGGCCAAAGGGCTCAGCATGGCTAGTTGCTGGTCATCTTTTATCATTTAAGAAATTAAGTGTTCAAGCCGAGCTGTGGTGGCGCATGACTTTAATCCCAGCACTCGGGAGGCAGAGACAGGTGGATCTCTGTGAGTTAGAGGCCAGCCTGGTCTACAGAGCGAGATCCAGGATAGGCTCTAAAGCTACAGAGAAACCCTGTAAGTATAGAAATCTAAGGGAAAGCATTGTCTGCCTTTGGGAGTCTGAAGGATCTATTCATTGAAAGTAGGAGGTACTTTATGTAAGGAATGTTATACACTACTGTTAGAAGTAGACTTTGCTGCTACACCAGGGGTGGAAGGAAGTGAAGAGTCTCTGTTTCCATGTGTTGTATTTTTCAAACGATAATGACTAGTTGAACTCACACAGTGCAATTTTTCCTCCAAAGGAAAACCAACTCTACCAACAATCACAAAGATAAAAACTTGCGCCAGAGAAACACAAATTAAGTACTGCTTATAATGTAAGTATGGCCTTCTTTAGAGATTTAAAAGTTCTATTCAAATGAACTGTGCCTCTGCTCACCTTGCTACGAATTCTTCAGTAGTTGGTGTTATGTGGTAAGACCTTATTGTTAATTTCAGAATAGCTGATACTGATGGAACAAGTTCTTTCTGTTCGCTGCAATGTTTGAATGTATTTCAGCCATGTTGACCCACATACTTATATTAGGTTCATTTCACAATGAATACCTTGCATTGCAGTCTACTTACATATTTTTAAAAAGAAATTGTTACCTTCTTAGGTAGAGTATCCCAAAAGCCTGTTAGTACCATGTGTGATCTCCGCTGAAGGCAAGACAGAGATGGTGGCCGTAAGGCAGCATACTTACACACATGGAGATCAGAAGTTCATCCCACATTCCTGAGCATGCTGTTTGAACCAAAGCTTTGTTTGCTGTGGCACTGATAGCTGAGTGACAGTGCATGTTCTTAATTTCCAATACTTTCTTTACAGCTCTTTAGGTTCCTGAAAACGGTGGCATCATGACCTGCTACATTTTCTGCTTGGACCTCTTTGGTCTCTCCCTTCAAGTGAGCAACACCACAATGACCGTCTAAAGCATGCCTTATTTAGCCTCTCCTATAAGGGTGACCTAGCCAGGTACATTTTAAACAATGCTTCAGTGTAGAAGGTGTAAACTATTTTGGGCTTGATGTGCTGTGAATGTTGCTTCCCCTCCCTTTGGTAAAATATTTAAATAGAAGTGAAAAGGTCCTCTAAGGATCAGATCATGCATGCGCCATTTTTTACTTATGCAGCTGTTAAATTGGCAAAGCTCTAAATGCACTGCTGCCATCTAGTGATCATTTTGTAAAGTACAGCAAAACCTACAGATATATACAGTATATAAATATATATATATATTTATATTTTTGGGGGTGGGAGAAATCCAAAATAAACTAAACGCTTGTTTCATTTTTAAGCTGCTGATACTCATTCCTTATTGTCTGTTGTCAGATGAGGAAGCTGCAGTTCTGGTACATGAGAGTGTAAACTTAAGTCTCATTCTAAGGGCTTACCCTATAAATTTTAAGAACCTGGAACAGTCCACTGAACAGCTGTAATGAATTGCAGTATATATGTATGATTGCTTTTTAAGTGACTTTTCCTTTTGTCAAATCATGTAAATTCTGAAATCTTTTGCACTGATGTGTTGAACCTTATTCTTGTATATTCGATCAAGGCAACTTTTATAATTTCCCTTTTGTTTTCAATGACCCTGAAATGTTAAGAGCATGGTGATACTCTATGCAACTCTAGTTACACTTTTTGGTTTGACACTGTATTTTTCACATCGATTTAATGATTGATGATAGATTTTATAACCTGACTGGGTTCTCATTCGGTACTAACTGTAGATGCATGTACTTGTGTTCTGTGTAATTATTGAAGTGCAATGGTGTACAAAAAAATGAATTCACCTGTTTTTAACAATAAAACATTGATAAAAGGTGCTTGGAATAATACTCTTTATTCAAATATTTTCAGTTCTTTAATTGCATATGTGTGCAGGACTTCAGTTTCTTAGCTCTGTGTGATCTTTTTAAGTTCCTTCTCCACCTCTTCTACAAATGCTGGGAAGTTCTGATCCATGAGGCATAAGCGTAGAAAGGGGCGCAACTCTTCTGCTCCCCATGAAGATTGTTCATAGGCTAGGGGCAGCTTCTCTGATGTCAGGATAGTCTGCAGGGGTGCCAAAAAAGGAAGGGGTCGACTGTGGGTGGGAACACTATCCCAGATGATATAATACAGGAAGCAACGCCTTAAAATTTGGAAGAACGCTACCCCAAAACTAAAATGTTCCTGGCTTTACAAAGTCCTTTTCCACACTTAGGTTTCATATTTATTATATTATGTTTATGTTTCCTTCCTTCATCCCTCTGGCACACTTGTATTTTCTCCCTGCTTCCTGTCTCCCCACCCTCACAAAAAACAAACCAGAGTTTCACTATCACCCAGGCTGGTCCCAAATGCCTGGATTATAGTGAGGTAGTATTTACTGTGCCCAGCTCTATATTTTCTGGATATATGCAAAAAGTAAGAGAAGCTTGGATCCTTAAGGAGATGTATCTATAAAGTTGAGATCCAGGGAACAAACACTATGCTACTAACATTCTTCATGTGGAAGTTGGATTCTGAATGGAAATAAGTGTCTACCTGAGGATGTAGCTTAGTGATAGAATACTTGCATAGCATGGATAAAGTGTAGAGTTTGATCCTTAGCATCACCAACAAAAGCAGGGTTGGGGGAGGTGGTTGTAAACTGACCATCCAAACGACAAAAGTCATGTTTTTTTTTTTTTTTTTTTTTGGTGGTGGCCATCTGAATAATTTGACAGAAACATACCTTTCCCACAATCAAAATACAGGATGCTTTGTGTCCTAAAAAAAAATCTCTTGTGCTGTTGACTGTTGTCGAACCCTTAAGGCTGGATAACTATGAATCTCCTCCAGCCTTCATGTTGCCTTTTTAAGAATGTTATATTCTGTACACTAAATCATAGTGTAAACAGTCCCTTTTTAATGAGTCTCACTCCCTTGATTTTTTGACTGGACAGTGGAATAAAAGTAGTATGCATTCCATAGAAATTGCACTTCAGCGCTTGTCCTTTCCTTCGGCAGCAACATGAGATGCAGGCAGCATGGTGAGCTCTGGCTTCCTGTCCCAGGCACGAAGGTCAGTAGCCTGTACTCCACGCTTATGTTGCTAAACTATAGTGTTCCAGAGTTTAGGTGTTTGAAACATTTTAATGTATTTCACCTTACAATGACTTGATACTGAGTCAGTCACACTGTAAGCTGGGGAGCATCTGTATTTTGGCTTCTTTCACTTAATATGGGTTAATGTTAAGTGTATGTGTAATTCATTCCCTTTTTTGAAATTAAATATTCAATGGTGCAGGTGTACAATTCGCACATTCTCTTTCAGTTGGCCTGGGTTTTGCTTTGTGTTGCTATAAGTGTTCAGAAGGTTTGTTGGAGATGGTATCTTCCCATGTGGCTTAGACAGTTTTCTCTGACTCACAACCCTCCTGTGTTCGCCTTATATAAGTATTGGGATTGCAGGCATGTGTTACTGTGCCTCTTTAAATGCAGAGTTTCATTTATTAAAGTAGGCAGATACCTAGGAGTAGTGTGGCTGGGCCATATACTAAGTGTACTAAGTAACTTAAGGGAAACTGCCAGGGGCCTATCATTGTGCACTTAGAAGTCCAGCACTTGGTACTGCAGTTTTTCTTTGTATTGTGACTGTATGGAAATGTAGGGGCACACATACCACAATGTGTACCTAGAGACCAGAGGATGACTTTTAGTAGTCAGTTCTTTCCTGCCACCTTGTTGAGACAGGATCTCTTCTTGTTTCTGGCCTTGAAGCTTTAATAATTCTTTTATCTCTGCTTCCCATCTTGCCACAGGAATGCTGGGATTTAGGGTGTCTGGGACTGAACTTGGGTTATCAGGCTTGCCTGGCAAGTACCTCTACCCACTGAGCCATCTTACTGGCCCTCCGAGTTTGTTTTTAATTTTGACCTTTCTAATAAACATGCAGGGCTGTCTCATTGTAGTTTTAATTTGTATTTCTCTGATCAGAAGTAATACTGAGCACCAATTCATGTGTTTATTGGACATTCATATGGCTTTGGGTAACCTGCAACATTTTAAAACCAATTAAGGAGCTGGAGAGATGAGCTCATAAAGTGCCAGAACTCAGGTGAAGAGAAGTAGTGTGGTATATCTGCAATCTTGGCACTGGAATTGATTGTGGGTTTCTTGTTTAAGAGGTCTCAAGTTGCACAGGGTGGTCTCAAACCCCTTATGTTGCCAAGGGTGATCTTGAACTCCTGGTCCTCCTGCCTCTACCTCTTGAGTATTAGGGTTACAGGCATATGAATAGAACCCAGGGCTTAATGTGGGTCTACATCACCAACCCTGAAAACCAGTTCATAAGTTAGCAACATTAGAGTTTAAACTGAAGTCTGACTGTGCTTGACCATTTGAAAGAGGTCATCTCTTGACCAACTTGGAGTCAGTGAGTTCCAGCTGTTGAGATCCACTTGGCTTTGGATCTTTGGCTCCTGTGTCTGGCAGACTGCTTACACTAATGCTGTCAGGTAGATAGATAACTCCTGTCAGAAAGGTAGCTCTCTTTCTGGGGTATACTACATGGCCTACTGCCTGTGTGCAAGAGTATTTCTCTAAGAACAACATGTATCAATAACAGGAATTTACCTTTCTAAATTTAAATTGAGTTTTAGATTCTGCCTAAAGGAAGAGAAAATGAAAATAGGCCATCGTGTTCTCCATTGAGAGCCGCTGTTAACACACAGCAGTGTATATACTTTCTAATTTAGTATATTATAAAAATGAAAGAATGGTATTTCATAGCTTAAAAAAAAAATCAGTGTGCTATGATTGTCCATGCCAATGACAAGGCTTGACATCAGTTTGATTTACTTGTTGCTGTGGAGGTTGTGGGAGGTTGCCATGACACACACGGAGGTCAGAGGACAACTTGCTGAAACCAGGTCTTTTCTTCCACTTCATGGGTTTGAGGAATCAAAATGAGGTCATGAGGCTTGGCAACAAATCACCTTTAGCCACTGAGTCACTTGCTGGCCCTGATCACAGTTCTCATATGTGTAGTAATACTGTACTTTAACCACTTAGGGTAGTGAGCATTTATGTTGATTCCATTCTTAACTGTAAACAGTATTATGATAAACATTCTATGTACACCTATATATCTGAAATGCAGCTGCAAGAAAAAAGAATAAACAACTTGGTTTATATTAAGTGGCTTCCAAGAAGTTTATCCAACTTTGTATTTACAGGATGATCTGCCCAAAAGGTCAGAACAAACTGGTGCTGTTTCTGGTCTTGTCAGTATTGTGTACATCAGCTGCTGGGCCCCACTGATGGCAGAGTTCTCCTCTGTAAGAATGCAGCACCTTGCCCTGCTCAGTCACTCCCCAGAACAAAGAAAAAAAAAAAAAAAGTCTGCCTACTGCTGGACAAGGTTTTTTACGTTCACAGTTGCTGGGTCATTAAGGATAAGAAGTCTGTCTTTTTCCCCCTCTTCTGTGTGTGCAAATTAGGTATTGAATCCAGGGCCTCATACATAAGCATTTGCTTTCCTGCTGCCTTCTCTCAAGTTCTTTATCTTTAACTACCCCATTTTATTTTTAGTGGTAAGCCAGACTCCCCCACCCCAAAAGCCCTTATTTTTCTTTATGTACTACTCTTTACACAGTTTAATAGATACTATTCAAATAAAAACTCTTCATCCTTGCATATTGATGGGTATGCTGGTTCTGCGGAAAGCACGAGCTGCTGGCACAAAGCCCTAGCCTGGTATAGCCAGGATATAGTGAACCAAAAACTCCTCAGGGGATTCCAGCAGAGGGGACAGCCGACAACTATAAATGTGACTGGAACTACAAGTGGGCAGGAGCTGTCTGTGAGGCAGCTGTGATAGTCAGCAAGCCAAAGATTCTGAAGGGCCCTGGCAATAGTTCTTAAAAGGGCTGAGTAGGCTCCCTGGGCTCAGGCAGACTTACCAAGCTCACTGTTTGAGCTGTGGCATACAGCTGTTGGTCCAAGGATTTAAAGAATCAGAGGGTAGGAGACGTGGGTCTGTAGGCACGGGTAGCTCATGTGGCTTTTATCCACCTGTGTCCTTGGAAGTGAGGTGTTCATGTTAAATGTTCTGGAAATGGTTCCAGGGCCATCTTTACCAGAGCCCATGTTCAGAAAAACAGCAATAGGGGGTTTTATTTTTTTATGCCTTCCACCTACTTTCCAATGCTCCTTAGTTGAGACAGTAGCACTGAAGGTTGGCCCTGCAGGAATTATAGAGTCCAGATTTGGTTTGAGTATTTGTTTTAGAATAGTTTACAATCTTCACTCCAAAATTGAATTGATTTCTTTTGTCCTTTAGGGGAGGTGGTGATTTAAGTTCTTTCTAGCACGGTAAGCAGCCCCTCTTCATTTCCTCAGGCAGGCAGTCTGCACAGGCCACATCTGTGCTCTAAGGCAGGGTAAAGGGCAGCAACTGTCCTCTCACCTTCTGTTCGGAACACTTTAGGTTCTTTTTTTATGGCAAGGGAAAGACTTGAATATCAATTCTTGTGGACTACCATTTTTAGGGACAAAACCCAGCACAGAAATACCTGAGCTAGATGCATCACTGAAGTCCTTCCCTCCAGAGCACCAGTGCCAGCTGTCACATATACCTGCTGCTCCAGGTTCAGGGCAGGCTGCAGAGAAACATGCAATTAGAGGACGGGGTTAGAGAGTTATCTCAGTGGGGTGCTCGTGAGTCCTCAGCTTCAAGGGTTCATCTTCAGAGACAGACAAACAAGGAAAAGCAGCTGTTAATCACACTTAGGTACCTGTGCTGTGGTACCTATCACCAGGACTGTCTTTCCTATCATCGTCTACCTGGTGGTCTCGG